TCGGGGCCGAATCCGCTCCCACCGTCCTGCAGCGCCTCCTCCGAGGGTTTCCCACTCGCAGAACCGACTGAAACTACGGTTTTGTAACCTTGGCCAGAACCCAGCTCATCGGCGGCATCCAGCAATGTAGCAATAGCAAGAGGCAGCTGCACGGAGATAATTGAGGGAAGGGTTTGTGGGAAAAGCTGCTCCCGGAGAAACCGCACGGACAGAGCAGTCGCTTGTGGTTTCGGGCCAGGGCTCGCTTTTATTTCAGCGCCGTGGATCCTGAGAACGGGCCCGTCTGGAATATTCTGAATCCCAGGGAAGCCGGGCAGAGCTTCCCAAACGTAATCTGGTTAAAGAGCAGCAGGCGGTGTAACAGCACAGCTCGGGGCTGTCACTGGGGTTGCAGCCCAGTGCCCAGCGTTGGGGCTCTTGCACAGGACACGTGGGGTTGTGCCTTGAGCCGCAGCAGCTAGCAGGGGTCATTTTGGGTAGCAAGTTGTGGCCGGAGAACCACTGAGGAGTTCAGCTCCTCAGGACAGGCTCTGAGCATCCTCCTGGCTGTGGCCCTCGGGGTGCGTGTCCACAGACCCACACCGCTCGGCACACTGAGCTTTGGGGCTGCTTTGCTTTATTCAGGGGCCTAAGAAACGCCAGGAATTTATCCTGCAAGTGATCAAAATGCTGATAGCTGCTTTAGTTCTTCCTGCAAGAAGTTCTTCTTGCAGGGACCGCCAGCTGCGAGCAGTTGCGGGCGCATTGGGAGGGGTGACCCCAGTGCCTGGGAGGGGTGACCCCACCGCCGCGGTGGGGCTGGCACAATGAACGTCTGAGAAAGGCAGAAGGAAGGAGGTTATTTATGGTGGGGAGAGGGCACTAGGAGCCAGAAAAGGGACTAAGAGGGGAGAAAAGGTGTTCCCGGTGTAAGAACCTGCGAAAAGGAGCAGCATCCCCGTCCAAAAGCCAGTACAAGAGGTACCGAGCGTCCCGGGGACAAGAAGGAGGGAGCTGGGTTGAAGCTGAGGGCCTGGGGGCTTTGGGATCGGGGTAACCCCGATGTGACAGCCGGTGAGCTTGCTTCCAGCCAGCTGCCATCAGAACGGGGGCGATGCCGAGGTCTCGGTGCTTTCCCCGTTGGGCAGTGGCCGCACGGAGCCGCGCACGGCGCAGCGGTGCCTTATTCATGGCTAATCTGTGCCATCCCCCATGGCGAGGCTGCCAAACGAAACGCACCTGTGTTTGCACTGCCCGGCTCGCCGGCCTCCTGCTGCCCCCGTGCTCGCTGCGGATGGCAGACGAGCTCGGACTTTACTCTTCCTGCACGGGAGAGCAGCACAAAGCGCGATTGTTCCTCAGCCCGGAAGGCGTGCGAGGCAGCTGGAGGCGCTCGGCACGAACCGTGGGGCCAGGGGGCAGGGGAAGGACCAGCACCGGGCAGCCTGGAGAGCTGGGAGCACATCCGTGGAGCAGCGTGAGCCCAAAGGGATGGTGATGGCTTTTGGGCACGCAGCCGGCCAGCGGTTCTGGCAGCGCCCGGATCAGCAGGGCGATGGAGAAGCACCGTGAAAGTCCTCACCTTCTGGTCCCGTCCCCACGCATCCCAGCAGGTGGAGGTGTCAAAATCTGGACGTGATCTGTTTGAATTGTCATCTTAAGGCAATTTTTAAAGATTTGAGGACACATTTTTTTTTTTTTTTTGGGACAGAGTCCTCAAAAGGAGCCTGAGTTTTACAAATCCCGTGTTTCGACAGGGCTGGTTCCTCTTCCAGCCCTTACAGACCAAACAAATGTGTTGGATTTGCGCAAATAACGTCTGCGCCTCTAATTCCCGTCCTTGTGTTGGGAGTTTTTCTGTAGTGGGTAAGAGCCTCCAGCCAGCTTTTTTTCTTATTGTCTGGCATTTGAAGAAGTCGGCACAATCTTCCTTACCCAAGGCTGGCAGGGGGTGGGCGAGCTCCAACGCACGGACCCCGGGTGGGAGATTCCTCGTCGTGGCTTCGGCTGGAAGTGGCCGGAGCCCGGCTGAGCTGCACGGGGCTGGCAGGGGGCACAGGGCACGAGGCTGTCCCGGGGCCTTGTGCATGTCCAACAGCACCAGGAGCTTTGGCACAGTTTGCATTTTCCCTTGCGTGTCCCCAATACGAGCGTTCCTCATCTTTGGCCATGAGGACCTTGACCCGCGTGGCTCTGCTCGCTGTGCTCCCCGGGGGTCTCCCCTCCTGCGGGGCTCGGGGGCGTGTGGGCTGCCCCCATCGCCTCTTCCCAGCGGCCCCCCGCCGCGTCCAGCAGCCGGCACGGCCTCCCCGAGCGCTGCTCCCCGTTGTGCAATGCAGGGGGGGGGTGGGTGGCTCCCCCCAACCCCTCCTTCCTTTCCCTTTTGGGACCAGCGCTTCTGAGGTCCTCCCCGGACGCCTTTGGTCTCAGTGTGTGGCTTTGGGCTTGGCGTGCCCCGGGCGAACCAAGCAACATTTCCAAGGCTTCCTTGCCCCGGGAAGGGGAGAGGAGCGCGCGGCCGTGCGTGTGTGCCGTGAGACTTCGGGGCTGTACCTGGGGCTGCCGCCCCTCTCCTCGGCGACCCCAAGGGAGACGTGGGGGACCCGGTATCGAAAGCCACTCGCAGGACATGCAGGAAGGGCTGCGAGGGGGTCGGAGGGGCTGGCGGCACCGCGTGTGGGGCTCGCACCCTGCCGAAGGTGGAGCGCGGCAGCGCCCTGGCCACCGGCCAGAGGCAAAGAGCTCCTTTGTTTTCCCGGAGAAGTGCGAGGGATTATATTCCGTTGAGCTCACTTGGTCTCCCACTTCTTATTGTGCGGCAGACATGTAATCATCTCGTTCGAGGAGCTTAGTTAATTGTTTACAAAATAGAAGCGGTGGCGATGGGGAAGGAGGCAGGGGGGTGCTGGGGTTGGCCCAGCTCTGCCAAGGGGGGGGTCCAGGGCCATGCAGCCCCCCCCCAAGTCCGGCAGCGCAGCGCTCACCTCCCCGCACCTCCTGCGAGCAGGGAGGCTGCGTTGGTAATTGTTGTGCAAATGCAACGCTCCCTGCAAGCTGTGAACCAGGCCAGGGCTCTGTTTACACGGAGAGGCAGCCAGCTTTCCAAGCGTAATGAGTCAGCTCGCGGAACAGAAGGGGCGCAGAATTAATCTGGCATCCGTCTGGCCTTTTCTCAGCTGAGCAGGTTGCCGGAGCTCCACGTGAAGGGGCGGCTGCCCCGGCTGCAGGGAGCCACACCGACAGTGAGCGAGAAGCGGGCAGAGGCTTCGAGAAGGCGCCGGCGGCGTGCGGGCTGCGAGGCGAGGCGCTGGGAGCGGTGTCAGCAGCGTGGGGCTGGGTTTTGGGGTCGGCTGCTGGAGCAGAGCGAGCTCGTGGAGGGCAGAAAGCGGAGCTGTTGGCTTTTAGGCTCCTTGACCGAGTGCGCTTTGATCTCCAGTGCCGGGCTCAAGGCTTTGGAAATTTCACTGCGTGGATTTTGGGTGGCTGCTGGAGCAAATCCCTTGGGGTGGGCAACGGTGGCTCGATGTGATGAGGAGCCAGAAATTCAGGGAGGCAGATTTCGCCTCGCCTCCTGCTCGTGCGAGAGCCAAGGGTTGGGGCTGCTGAATCTCAGCGCCGCCTGCAGCAGGGGGACGTGGAGAGGCCTCGGTGCGCGGAGCTGCTGCAGGAGGAGGAGGGCGCCCAGCCCCGGGACTCCTCGCGCTGCGGGGCTGGGAGGGGGCTGGGAATCGCTTCTGAAATCCCTTTAAAAAAAAAAAAACAACAACGCCAAAAAAACCCAACCCACAAAGCAACCCAAAGGGCTCTGCAGGCTGTGAAGCGTAAATGAACCGCCTGAACGACGGCGGGATTTCCAGGGCGCTTCTAAAAGGCTGCGCCGAGCAAAACACTGCTCGGGGAGACCCCCAACGCCCGCCCCCCTGCCTGCTGTCCCCATGGGGCACCCGGTCCCACATTTGGGGCTGCCCCAGCTCCGTGGGACCTGTGGGGTCCAGGCCTTGGTGCCCAGCCTGAGCAGGAGGCTCCTGCCTTCCCTCTCTCTTCCCTCTGTTTTCCTTCCCTCTCCCCGCCCCCAGGATTCCCAGTCTTGTGATGCAGCCCTGCGTGACTTTGTTCCTGGACAATTTCCTGCAATTGTAGCCGTGCGGAGAGCCAGCCGCTCTTCTCAGAAGTTAATGGGTGCAATGTGCAGCCTCGTCAGGTGCCGATTAGCTGGGGAAGAGTTCCCCAACGCTCGCGCTGCCTCGGTGCGGGCGCAGCCAGAGCCGTGCCGCAGGAGCTGCCGTGGGTCGCTGCCGCACCGCTGCCTTTTAGCCTCTGCTCTCAGGAGAGGAGATATTTTTGTTCACCTAAAAAGGCCTCGCCGGCCTTGGCTGCAGCCCGCCTTTCTGATCCCTGTTCCAGCTCATGCCTCGCTGTATTTCAGCTGTCAGTTGTCTTTTCAGCCCTGTAACCAGGCAACACATGGCAGGAGCCGGGAGCGCTTTGTTACTCCCCGAACCGCCCGTACCTAGGCCAAGGCGCCGCGGCCGCGCCGGTGCGAGGGCGAAAAGCCCGCGGCCAGCGCCTCGGGAGCGCTCTGCCTCGGGGTGATTTTGAACCTTGTTACGAGAAGAAAGCACAGAATTGTGTTTGGGGAGCAGGTTTGGGAATCCGGCGAGGTGCGGAGAGGTGCGGGCGGTGCCGGGGGCTCAGCCGGCACAGCCCCGGGGTCTGTCCCGTCCCGCGGCCGTGCGCTCGGGGCGATGCTGCAGCAGAGGAGCAGGAGGAGGCTGCTCTGTCTGGGCACAAACCTTTCCAGGCCTCCCTTGCACGTGAAACAAGTTGGGTTTGCAGCGACAGGTCCCAGCCTGCTGCCGCCCGGCGGTGGTTTTACCCGCGTGTAGGTGCTCGGCCGTCCCGCTGCTGCCCGGGGAGAGCTCGGTGCGGGTTCATCCCCCCGGGATGTGTCCTGCCTTTCTTTCTCCCCAGTGGATTTTCCTTCTGTGATGTCTGACTTGTCTTTTCCTCTCTCCAAACAGACGGTTGATGATGAGGCGATGGCAGCATAAATGAAGATCAAGTAAGGAAGGCAGAACGATGCCCAAGGGTGGGTGTTCTAAAACACCACAGCCAGAAGATTTCTCTCTCAGCAACGACATGGTGGAGAAACAAACAGGGGAAAAAGGTAGCGTGGCTTCTTTACTTGCCTTCCTTTGGGGATGCTGCCCCTTGTGCCTGATGTCTTCAAGCCGTGAGTGTTTCAGATGGCAGCAGCTTGCCTTGGGCTGCTACCACCTGAACCCAGCCTGGTCAGGTCCTGACTGGGCCTGAGAGGAGGCTGCTGAAAGGAGACCTGAGTCTAAGGGTAAATACATCCCTGCTTCTCCCCTTCTGTCCCACACCCCGATGCTCATTTAGTTCCCGACCTGCTCTGTGCCTCCCCTCGCAGCATTTCCAGGCCCTTCCCAGCGTAGGGGTAGCTCCCGGTAACCACTCCTGCAGACAGCTGCGCTCAGACCTTAAAACACAAATTTAAGCCCACCCCTTTTGTGTTCTGCTATGGAAACAAACGCCACCCCCTTCCCTTTCACCCCTTTGCTCCTGCTCCTCGGCACTCCCCGGGGAGCGTTCGGCAGCCCTGGTCGTGGCGCTGAGCTCTGTCACAGCCACGGTGCCACAACTCGTGCTCTGCCCCTTCCCCCGGCTCCGACGGGTGCTGCTGGCAGCGCTGCTTCTGTGCTCGGGGCGTGAGGTCGTGTTATTGACGGGAGGAGGGAAACGACAAACAAGCGGCGGGGAAATCCCAGGCAGAAATGCAGGTTTCGAGCACGCTCGTGGCATCGGCCCCGTTCCCCTTTCTGCTGCCGCGTGTGCGTGCAGATCTGCTTTGGGATCCACGCCGAGGGGTTCGCTGCTCCCCCCCCGGGGAGGCACCAGCATTTACCTGGAGCCCAGGGAAGGCAGATCCGGGCTTTGTGGTGCCACGTAAGGAGCTTTTTGTGGGCGCAGGTGCGTCGGGAGGGAGCGGATCGGTGGTGCTGTGAGTCAGCGCCCGTCCTCCTGCACCCGCAGCTTGGAGGCCGCGCGTTATTTACGGGCAGGGAGCTGGAGAGATCCTCCGGCAAAATGACTCGGGCACAAATAACGCCCTGCTTCCCATCGAAAAGCCTCAGCGGGGATGGGGAGCAGCCCTCCTGCTCCTCGGTTCTGCTCTCAGCAGAGCTCGCAGGGTTTCTCCCCCAGCCCCCGAGGTGCCGTGGCGCAGCGCCTCGCCCCGTGTCCCGCTGGCGCTGGGATGCGGTGACTCAGGGCGAGAGCACGCGGCCCTCGGCCCCGCCGCTCTACCTGCCCTGCCACGGAGGCCGCTGCTCTGGATTTATCTCGCTTTTGTCAACACTCACAAAGGCCGAGCTGGAGACTTGGCACGGGGGGGGGCCCCCGGGCTCTCCTTCACCGCCGCCTTAGCGTGGGCGCAGGACGGAGTTGGCACGCTTGGGCCCTGCCCCTTGGCACCACAGCCTCCGTGCCTCTCCGCTGGAGAGCTGGGGGCGAGGGCGAGCCCCTCCTGGCTGTAATGCCCGGGGGGGCCCCGCTGGTGGCCGCGGCAGCCCGGCGGGGCCTTATAAGGGCTGCTGCTGTGCTCAGCCCTGCCCGGCCCTCGGCTGCCGGCTCCGGCGCAGCCCGAAGAGCTGCTGAGAAGTATGCGCGCCTTATATGAGTAATTCCGCGTCTGCCGCGGCTCCGCAGAGCCCCAGCGAGGACGAGAGCCCTCGCCGAAACCATTTCCTGACGTGCCCGGGTCCCACACAGCTCGCTGCGGGCTGCGGCAGGGGATTTCTGTCCTGGGGGGGGGGAAATGCTTGACGTGCGCCTTCGCTGCAGCCTCGGACTGAACACGGAGCAGGACGGTGCTGGGCCCGGGTTTGGGGTTTGCTCTTTTTCTCCCCCCTTGTCCTGCTTCCAGGAGAGGAAGGGGAGCCTCCCTGCCTGCCTCCCTGCCTGCTGGGGCTCCTCGCGCCGCACAGAGCGCGGGGCTCGTGGGTGCTTTGAGCCAGATGTGGGTGAGGCCCAGCAGCCCCCGGTGGCTGGAGGGTACTCGGCTCCCGCCAGCCTCCCCGAAGGAATTCAGATCCAGTCGTCTCCGCGCTGTGAATGCTTTGTTGCAGCCTCAATCGTGACATGTTCAGACTGCCTGAAACTTCACACGCCGTCCCCTGGTTTTGGAAAGGCCCCCGGGGACGCGGTGGCTCCACCACCTCCCACACGTCCTCTTGGTGGCCAGGTGAATTCTGCCCGTCCCCACGCATACTGCAGGGCACGAACCCTCCTCTGCTCCCCGGTGGGACTGGCTGGGAAATGACAGTGTGATGGCAGGGAAGCTCCCAGCATCGCCTGCCTGCTGCACGGCTGCGTGTGCTGGGCACCTCCGGCAGCACGCGTGGTCCTCCTGGCTTCCCGCGTCGCCGCTGCCGCTTGTCCTGCTCGCTGCTGGCTTGTGCAACCTGAAACCCTTTCAACTCATTTTGGAGAACAAAGGGCGCCGGGGATTTCCACGCAGGGCTTTGCATAAGCGGCTGGGATGTGAGTCAGGTTCTGCTGGTGGTGCCGCGAGAGCACAGCACAGGCAGCAGAGGCAGCAGAGGCAGCAGTCCTGTGGGTCTGCAGGCACCGACGGCACCGCTCTGCTGAACGGGCAGAGGAGGAGGAGGCTGCAGGTACCCGGCCCTGCCTGGAAAGACAACTGTGGACTCACCCCACTTCTCTGCTGGGCGTCCACATGGGCTGGCATGCTGGCTCTCTTACAGAATTTTAATTTAAAAGAGCTACGTGGTTATTTTTTGCGCTGAAAACCCAACTTTGGGTAGCCAGGTGGCCTAGAGTGAACCGTGCATGAGGATAGAAAGTGGCGTTAGTTCATATATGGCACAGATGACCCGAGCAGACTGCTGTCAGTGTCTCTCTCATTGATCAGAGAGGAGTCCAGCACGGTGCTGCTGAGCACCCTGCCCTCCGCTCCAACGCGTGGTGCACCGGCAGCAGTTCGTGGTGCACCCTTTTACTGTAGCAAGCCTGTCCCGAGGTGGCTTCACGTCGTAACTCCTTGTATTCATACAGCAAATCTTACTGATACCGTAACGTGGCAGTAGGGGATTTCTCCTGAAGTCACGGTCTGCTGTGTCCCCTTTGCAAGGTGTCTTTTCTTAGCAGCGACAAAGGGGAACCTGCTCTCGTTGCGGAGCTCTCAGCCGTGCCCCCCGTGCCCCCAGCTCCCTCCCCGGCCACCAGCAAGAGGCACCCGACCGCCGCGAGCCTGCGTTGCACGTGGGTGCTGCTACTCATTTCTCTGCAGCATCGATTCATTTGGATTTGTTCCTTCCGTGAAACCCGATTCTTGCACCTTTCGGGTGAATCACAGCTTAGCCGAGATGCGAGATGACCTAAAAGTGAAAACGGCTTTTACTCAAGAAAAGAACTGCATTCTTCGGTATGAGATTGGAAATAATTACAGAAGTAAAGCTTAAAATAAGAAAACGAAAGCAGACATTATCTTCAGGAACGTTCCTCTCCAAGCTGCCTTCATTCCTCCGCGGTGGCTTCGCTGCAACCTCTGCAGGCTGCCCCTGCCCGCCACTGCTTTCCAGGGAGCAAAGTTTGGATCTTCCTTGCTCCAGCTAGAATGAAAGGTTACTGTCGCGCTGCTGAACAAATTAATCTTCAAAGCGGGGCCGGGACTGCCGCCGCTTCCCTGGTTCCTCGTGGTTAATTCTGCCGGCCTGGCTGGCTCAGCAGCTCTGAGCGTGAGGGCGAATGCAGATGGAGCGCTGCCCGAGCTTGCCCGGCGTCGGTACTCACGCAGCCAGTTCCATTTCCACGCTGGGCTCTCCGCGTCTGGGAACGGGTTTTTTGCCCAATTCCCTTCTTCTTTGTCTCTCCTCTACTGGGGAGTTCTTAACAAGGCTGCAGTAGCTTTGTAGGATGAGCTGCATTTTGACCTGGGCCATGCTTTTTCTCGTTCCTGAGCGTGCAGAGCTCCCACTCAGCAGTCATTCAGCAAACAACTGACCCGGCTTCTAGTCCCTGCAGTCCCCCCACCTGCAGGCTCAGGCTTTAGCACCGCAGCAGCGAGCAAAGCCCAAAGGATTGAGGGAGTTTTAGAGCAGGTAGGCTTTAAAGCAAGTTGTTGCCAGTAACAGTTGGCAGATTTCAGCTTGCTTCTGCCATGCTCCTTTTTGCACTTTGCTCCTTCGGCTCCGTTTGGTCCTTGCAGCCCCCTTGCATGCCTCCCAGGGGTGGGCTGAGAGCCTCCCAGGCAGCAGAGGACACGGCGGGTGCGCTCCAGCTGCGCTCCCTTTGAAGGTTACAAACAAAAGAGCCATGGTTTTTGTGCGCAGCACAACTGACCTCTCGCTGGAGTTCTCACCAGTGGAGCTGACGTCTGGGAGAAGCGCTCGGAGTCGAGGAAATCCCGCCACGGGGTGCCAGGGGCTGGACTGCATCCTGGCCTCCTGCTGCAAAAGCAGGCAAAAGGTTCGTTTGTACTTAAATACCGGGTGGGTGGGAAGGCAGCCTGAAAGGTCCGGGCGAGGAACAGGAGCTGCAGACAGCGAGCACAGCTGGCGAGGTGCTCAGCACCACCTGAGAAGCACCAGATGTGACCGGGACCTTTGGAAGCCCTCCAGAAGTACCTGTCCTGCTGCGAGCTGCCACCACGTCGACCTGGCCGACCAGAGCCATCGGTGTTGGGCACGAGACTCCCAAATGGGCCTCCAGCAGTGGAAGAAGTGCTGGGAGTGCAGGGCTGCTGCTGCTGCTGCTGCGTGGGCAGCCCCGGTGCTGCGCCCTTGTCCCAGCCCTGCCTGGCAGGGGTAGAGGTGCCGGGCTGGGGAATCCTGGAAGTGCCGTGGCAGTTCCTGAGGTGCACGCTGGGGCCGTGGCCTCGCTGTTGTTCCCACCCGGAGAAGGCAGCACAGCACCGCTGCTGCCTGGGTGCTGAGCTGGGGATGCACAGCGCAGCGTTGCTGTCAGAGCTTGCGTTGAATTGGGGAGGAAAAGGGCAAATTGGCCTGCTTGCATCGAGGCGTTCCTGGAAGGTGGTCAGGTGGGAGGGCTGGCTGTGGGCGATGAGGAGGAATTTGGGGAGGGGCTGCGGAGAGGCCGAACCTCTCCCCATTTCTCTCTGGGTTCTGGCTGCGAACCGCTGCCGCTCCCTGGCCTCGTTGCCCTGCCTAAGCTGCTTGGAACTGGTGAGAGCAGCGGTGCGCAGCCAGCACCTTCGTGGTGCAAACCTTAGTTTTGTCCAGGTCAGAAAAAATCAGACAACAGCACTGGAGCACGTGGTGTTTAGATGCAACCTGGGGCGGCTGCGTGAGGAGGAGGAGGAGGACGGGCGGTGGTGGTGCCTACGGTGGAGCGTGCCCGGCTCCAGCCCCGCCAGCCGCTCCGCCAGCAGGAATCGGGCTGCTGAGCTCTCAGATAGGTCCCTTTAGCTTGCTTTACCAAAAAAGGGATTCCCAGCCCCATTTTTTCAGGCCTTAGTGTTGCACTGGATGAGGAGGCTGAGCGTTGCGAGTGCAGCCGAGGAGGAGGAAGGAGCGATGTGTGCGGTGACGCCGTGGCCTCGTGAAGGCTGACACAGGAGCCACCTGCCAGGAGTCGGCTGCAGGCAGCCTGGCCGGCGTCTCCAAATGCAGGAATTTCTGCTGGCTGCCAGCGATGCTCTTGTATGATCTGAAACATGAAGGTTCTTCATTTCATCTAACTTTGTACCTAGAGCCTGGGGTCGAGGTTTTGTTTGAAATCACAGAAACCGCTCGGTTTGGCCTCGCTTTTAGGGCAGCGGCACAGGGGTGAAACTGGGAGCGGATGCCTGAGCGGATGGGTTCTGAAATGCAAAATCTGCAACTGCGTGACTTCGTCTGTGCGCGTTCTCAGCGCGTGGAGCCCCAGAAGTTTCAGTTCTGCACCAGCTTTCTCACTGCTCCCCCGCCGCCTGCGTCGCTTCCCGCGCCTTCGTGCGCGCTCGCGGTGGCTTTGTGCTCGAGGTAGCTTTTCCTCTTAAAATCCCAGTAGGAAGAAGCTTAGAATTAAGCAGCTAAATCCTTCAACCTGTGCTGCCCTCCCTTCAGAAGCGGGTTTTCCTGCAGCGTTTGCAGCAATCCTTTCACCACGGCACAGCCGACACCGTGCCCGGTGTGCGCCCTGGAGCGCCGGCCTGTTGGGTGCATGGGGCTGTGGGGTGGCCCTATAACAGGAACGTTGGTGGGCCTGCTGGCTGCCCAAATATCCTCCAGAATAACCCCAAATCACGTAAGCTCAAATAGCAATGCCATATTCTTGCTCTAGAAACATTGCAGCTCCCGACCTATGGCTCCCTGGTGCCGGGGCCGTTTGGTTCACGCAGCCCCTGGTCCCCAGCCCCAGCCTGGCCACGAGGTCTCGGTCTCTGTGCCAGTCGTTGAGGGTTTTGTGCCGTGCAGCAGCCTGGGGGCTGGCCGTGCTCTTCTGCATCGGGGCACCAGGGTTTTAGCTGTGTGAAATGAGCTGGCCTCTGGCAAACCGAGCAAACACTCGCTGCTGCGGCCCTCCCTGAGCGTGCGGGGACCTGCTGGGGGGCTCCGAGCGGTGCCTCAGCCACCACAAACCATTCTTTGGGCTCGATGAGTGGGTAGAGGATGGGGCTGGCAGTGCTGGCTGCTGTGCCAGCCCTCGAGCCCCTTCCTCCCTCTCCCTTCCAGAGGACAAAAGCCATTTCTTTCCCCTGTGGCTGCAGGGGGGCTCGTTTCTGCTGCATGCACACACCCAGCCCTGCGGGAAGGGGAGGAAAAGCGTGTCAGGAGGTTGGGGTGGCAGTCGGCCCCTCCACGGTCCGGGGAAGGTGCTCGCTAACGCTGCTAACCTGCTGTCTGCTTTCTCTTCCCAGGATAAAGATAAAGTTTCTCTAACCAAGACTCCCAAGTTGGACCGGAGCGATGGCGGCAAAGAGGTGAAAGAGAGGGCCACGAAGCGCAAGTTGCCTTTCACTGTCGGAACAAATGGAGATCAAAAGGACTCAGATACAGGTACAGGAAGCGCAAACCCCGCCGTGGAGACGGGAGCAGTGGGGCTGGTGGGATGCACGTGGCACCCGACGTTCACCTGTCCGTGCTGGAGCGCTGCTCCACACCTCCTGTGGTTCTGTAACCAGAGGAAAAGGCTCTGAGCAAGAGGAGAGCTCCTGAGACGTTGGGAGCTGAGCGGATCTGGGCCCTCGTGTTCTCAGTAACACACCTAATGGCACCAGGGATGGCTCTGGGCGGGGGGGAGAAACCCCATCCTGGGCTGGTGGTCAGCTCTCTGCTGGTTCTCCCTAACCCAGCTGTTGAGCTGCGGCTCCGGCTGGCCGAGGAGCAGCACTGAGCCTTGCAGTGCGAGCTTGGAAATCAGGGAGCAAAGCCGAGCTCTCTCTAAAAGCAAAAAAAAAACCAGTTTCCTCCGGTTTGGAAGCTGGGAGGGCAAATTTGGGAAGGTCCCGAGCGCTGTCGTGGCCGCGCAGCTCCCGCGCTGGGCAGCGAGGACACGCGGTGCTGGCGGTGCGTCCTCGGGGCTGCCCGAGTGGTAATACTCCTGTCAGCTGCTGAACTCCGTGTCCTGAGAGAAAGCTTCAAAACCTGAATTTGTGGAGCTGAATGCCAGCTGAATGGCATTTGTCCTTGTGGAGCATCACGTCGGGGTTCTTGGTGTGTGGATGGGCGAGAGCATCACGGGGTGAATACAACGTGTGGATGGGTGCCGGGGCACGGCAGCGCTGATGAGCAACAGCCGTGGCTGCTGCTGCTTCCTGGCGAGGGCGTTTCTGAGCCACGTGCAGCACTCGGTGGGGTTTTAAACCCAAACTCACTTCATGAAGGGCTGCCTGGCCCTTGTGGTCACCGGGATGTCACGGCTGGGCTCTGCCAGCCCGCTTCCTGGGGGACCAGCAGCAGGTGTCTGCTGTGCAGAGGGCTCGGGGCTCCTTCTGGCTGTGGAAATGTTAGAAATGGTGCTGCCGGAGGCATCAAGAAGGAAAAAATTGAGAAGGAGCAGGCGGGCAGGGACAGCCCGGTGCTGCTACCAGGAGAGGGTCGTGTCAGATGCATCTTCCCCGTCCCCTCTGGGGCTCGGCCGAGCCGTGGGCAGGGGAGCTGGGCTCGAAGGCACGTGAGAGACAAACGGGGGCTCGACAGAGGCTGGCAGGGTGTGGGCGAGTCAGCAGCAGCCGATTTGGTCGAGACCAGAGAGAGGAAGTGACTCAGCCCCTGGCGAGGAGATAGCGGCGGGGAGCTGCAGATGCACGGCACGCAGAGCCAGGCCGATGCTGAGCAGGAGCTGGTTGCTCTGCTCCGAGGTCTTTTCCTCCAGGATCCCGATGCCTGAGGTGGGAGAGGCTCCGCGGCACCGTGCTCCCCTCTGGCACCACCGTGGGGTCCTTCTCCTCCTCGGATGGGCTCGAGGAGGGCTTTCCCTCAGGGGAGAGGCCTGTTGTGGCTGCACAAGGGTTGCCCACCTCACACGGGGCCAGAGAGGTGCCCCCAAGCCTGTGTAGGGTCAATCAGTGTCCCACAGCACCCAGCAGCCACGTCCTGCTGGCACACAGCTGGAGGACGAAGGACAAAGCTTTGGTCTCGAGCAAGGGGGCTGCAGGAGGGGGGCTGCGCCCCGCTGCCCCGAGCAGGGGCTGCTTTTTCTCTTCCCTTCCTAAACTTCGATTTCAGCCTGTGTGAGAAGTGGGATTGCAACATCAGCGCTGGCCGTGCCCGTTTTGGGGCTGACCGTGGAGGATTTGTGCAATGCAGCCGCGCTTCCTGGGCCTCCGCACGCGGGCTTTCGTGTTTGCCTGAGGACGCTTTTGCTGGGCTGCTCCACAGCCACGTCAAATTCAGCTGTAAGGATGTGGGAACCGGGAGAGGGCTCTTTTGCCTACAGTAGGATTTTTTTTTTCCCCCTCTTTAAATGTTTAAGCACTACCGTGAAGCCTTGCCCGGGTTTCCTGCAGCGGCTCGACTGCCCTAGCACTGTGCAGCCGCTGTCCTGGCGAGGGATAAAAAATGTACACGAAGCTGTGAGCCTCCAGAACGCATGTTTCAGATCCAGCTCTGTGGGAGCAGCATCTCCTGCCTTCCTCCTCTCCCCTCGTGCAGCATCTCCCCGCATCCAGACAGCGCCGAGAGCCTACGTGCTGCCTGGCAGCAGCCAGCCGAGTGCAGCCAGCTTCTCCCCAGCACTTCCAGCAGCCTGGGAGGCTTCGTGCAGCTCCTCGTTTCTGCGCTGTGCTGAAAGGAGGTTAGACATTAAAATAAACACGCACCAAAAAAAAAACCCACAACTGTGCAATGCTCAGAGTGCCAGAGTCCGTAGTAAGGTGCTGGTTGGACCCGGTGATGGTGAAGGTCTCCTCCAGCCTTAGTGATTCTGTGATTCGGTGTCAGCCGTAGTGGGGACGGCCTCTTTAGCTTGATTTCGGGCTGTCGCTCGAGTCCCTTGGCTTCCTGTAGGGTGGAGCTGTGGTCTCCGGGCTTTTAGTCATCATGGGGGAGAGGCAGGGCTTCAGAAAAACCTCCAGGGCGCTTTGAGTTAATTTGGGCTTCCACGAGCTGTCCAGGGAGCTGGAAAGACCTGGGTGAGGTTGGGTGTGCGGGGCTGTGCTGCTCCCCCTGCGTGCAGAGGCCTCCCGTGGTGACCCCCGGGGAGGGGAGGCAGGCGCTGGGCCTTAGGGTGCCCCTTAGGGTGCTGCTGGTTCCTGGTGCCTCCAGCCCCGCTGCCCCCACGCTGCCCCTTGAGCCAGGGTGACACCTCTGGGGCAGGTTTCGCACATTTGCTGGCAGACTCGGAGCACGTAAGAAGCTTGGGTTCGCCCAGATCATGTCCAAACCCCACTGTTGCTAAATAACACCCAGATTTGTATTCACCTACTCCAAAATCACAGGCGGAGGAGCCGTCCTGTGCCTGTGCTCACTGCTGTAGCCGTGCACTGAGTGCAACGTGTGCTGCTCCGTGTGGGAGCGCATCACGGCTGAGCTGCGCAGCCCTGGCCTCAGCGGCGTTACTGCAGAAACAAATGCCTGACTTTTAAAGTTCCCTGAACACAGAGAAATTCTAATTTTGAACCGTTTGGTCACGCAGACTTCGGTTTCTCTGGCAGCTCTCGTGCTGGAGCCGAGGGCTTTGCACAACTGAGCTCTCCTCAACACCTCCTGCAGGGAGAACAAGGGCAGCTAGTGGTGGAGGGGGGGACAGGAGGGGCTTGGGGAGGCAGAAGGGGTTTGAGGGGGCAAGAGGGGACTTGGAGAAGCAGGAGAGGACTTGGGGAAGCAGGAGAGGAGGGTGCAGGGGCTGGAGGGGTGCCGGGGCAGGAGGGATTTTGCATTCCTCATTGCTGCCTCCAGCGCAGCTCCCGCTGCTTCCAGCTCCTGGCCAGGCCGGGAGGGGTGGACGCCGTGTGGTTTGGTAGCGCTGTGGCTTTGGGTCATGGGATTTCTGAGCACCGCTTGGTGTTGGTGTTGGTGTTACTGGGGTGTGAGCTGAACCAAGTGGCACCGCAGGCAGTGTTGGGGGGGACAGGGATGGCACGGCGCGGGTCAGGGTCCCAGTGTGGTGCCGGGCACGGAGCAGGAGGTGGCTCCTGCAGCAGGTTGGGTTCCCTCCCGTGCTATCGGGGTTAAAATCAGTGCCATCTGCCTCGGCTGTGGTCTGGTGGCATTTGGTGTCTCAGCTTTGTGGGATGGGGGAGCACAGGCAGAGGGCGGGTGCGGAGAGTGTGGGTTCAGAGGCCCCGGAGCAAACAGCCCCTTCAGCTGCATCCGTCCCCTTCAAAAATGAAACATGAAAGCGGCATCGTGCTTCCGAGGTCCTGAAAAACGAGGTAGGATCCTCCTGCTGGGAGGCAGCGGGGAGAGGCAGAGCCCCACCAGCACCATCCCACCGTGGAGGGTGGCCGTGGGTCGTGGTAGCGGCGAGCATGAGTGCAGGATCTGGCCTCGGAGCCTCCTTGGTGCTGATGAGAGCACGGTACGTGGTGCTAATTAATTACCGGGCTACCAAGCCCGATCACCTGGGCTATCAGCCGAGCCAACCCACCCGCTCCATCCCTCCTGGGCTGGCGAGGGGATCCGTGAGAAGCGAATCGCTGGCGGCTTCCAAAACGCATCTGCGTCCCCGGGCGCTGTTTGTGTGCGCCTCTGTGGCTGGCTTCGGGCGGATGTGTGCAGCTGGGGGGGCTCGAATGGGCTGCGCTGCATCGGGCCTTTCTTCGGCTGCATAATTTCAGTCCTTTACTAAAATAGTCGAGAAACTGTTCTCACCTAGCAACCGGGGAGAGAGTGAATGTCAGAGCTTCTCCGCTTCTCGCTGGCTCCATAATGCCGGCACAGTGCGCCGGGGCTGGCAAACAGCAGCCTTCAGATCACCCTTAGAAACTCCCCGTGCGCAGCAGCCATCTGGGAGGTGCTGTGCGGGAAAGCAGGTCGCTCGATGATGGGGGCTGCCATAAATCTCCCTCCTCCCCCCGCCTCACCTCCTTAGCATGCAGAGGGAGAGGCTGCAGTGTGCTGGGGCTCTGTGAACCAAAATCTATCAATGATGGCTTTTTCTCTAATACAAGAGCTTTTATCAGCGCTGTCTGCGGAGCGTCCTGCCCCCCGCTCCCGGAGGGGGGCTGCGCGGGCGAAGCCTTCATCCCCTCCTGCTCCTCCTCCTCCTCCTCCTCCGGTTCTTTCGGCCTCGTGGGAAATGGAAAGTGTGGACCTGGCCGATGGCCACCCCAAAAGCTGCGTTGACCCCCTTCTGCATGGCCTGGGGCTGGGGATGAGGGCTGCTGTTTGGGTGGCCGGCTCTCTGGGGCACGGCATTAAACCTCTGCCTGAGAGATGCTCTTAAAGCTGCCGAGGCCACCGGGGGCAGGGCCTGCAGCTGCTCCGTCACCAGTGAGCTGGGGCTGGGCGCTGGGGGTCCCTCTCCATCCTTGGGGCACCCCCCTGCCGTGCTGCCAAAGCAGACCCTGCTGTGGCTTTCCCTCTCGGCTCCCTTTTGGCTTCCACGTGGCTGCCGTGCCACATCCCCTCCCGTCTCTACCCGGGGATGTTCACACTGCAGGGGCTGCAGCACGTGCGTGAGCTCCCTGGTACAAAACGTGCCTCCTGCCTGCGTCGGATGAACCCAAATACCCGGTTCCTGTGCTCACAAACCACTACATTATGATCTTGGTGCCTTCGTGCCAGCCCTGCTGCCACCTCTCGTTGATCTGCCCGTGCCACTGCTGCTGTCCCCGTGCTGCATCCCGGTCCTCAACTCCTGGGGCACCGCTCACGCTGTGCCGCCTCTCCCTCTGCCCGCAGACGCAGGAAGCCCTCTGCTCGTGCTCAGCTGCCAGCAGCGTGCAGAGCCCGGGCGTGCAGCGTGCGAGCAGGGCTCTGGGTACAGAACGTGTCCGCGTGCTCCGGCTCGGCGCTGCCCGTGCGGGGCCAGGCTGCTTCCCCTCGCTGGAGCTGGCGTGCGCCGAAACATCTTGTGCCCTGTGACTTCTGCAGTAGAAATGAGTCACTCTTACGCATGCCAGGCTGTGGATCAGGAAGGCAGAGGCTTGTGCGGTCTCTCGGGGGTGCAATGCAGTCTCCGCTGCTGTCTGTGCCGTTCTAATTATTCTCATTGATCTGCTGTTTGTGTGCTCGCTCCGTGAATAAACTCCAAAATCCCGACCCGGGAGCGAGCCGGCCGGCAGCGTCCCCGCGCAGCGCTCAGCTCTGCGTCCCGAGCTGCTTATTTGGAAATGGTATTTTTCTTCCGGGTGCCACCTTATTTGCCTGTGCTGTCATGCCGGAGCCGTTCACACGGATGCTTTTTGCATTACAGGGTGCCACACACGGCAGTGGGGGAGCGGGAGCTCGGCTGCAGCTCTCTGCGATGCCTGCACCGCGCGGCGCGCCAGCCAGCAACCTGCGAAGGTTTTCCCTCGCGCCGCTCCCGTCTGGCTCCCGGCCTCGTCCTCACTCCCCTTCTTTCTGGGGCTGAGGCTCAGCCCTGGCTTTGCACCCCCCGCGGGGGCAGCGCCAGCGTTGCGTGACCTGGAGCTTAATTCGGACACGGGAGCCACCCGCGGGGCTTTGTCCTGGAAGGGCGCTCGCGGTTGTCACGCAGCAGAGCGGTGTTTGTAGCCCGGGAACAAGGAGCAGTTCCCCGGCTGAGGCTTGGCTCTGGGACGGAGATGGAAGCAGGCAGCAAGGAGCTGATCCTAAAACGGGTCCCTGGTGGCAGGGCTCGTGCAGAGCCCTCTGTGCTCGCCCCTCCAGCGGGGCACATGCGTGGTGCCGCTGCTCGCACAGCCCTGCGCTCTGCCTCTTGGTGGGGGGCTGCCCTGCACTGCCTTCCCCAGCCTTAGCACAGCCTCGCTGAGGGGTTTGAGTGCCAAACGGAGGGATCCCCTGGTGCCTCCGTGGTGCCTCCACCCCACAGGGCACCGCGCTCGAGCCCAGCTCCTCGGCTGCTGCCTCAGCCCTCGGCACGGCGCGAGCAAGCGGGAGCGCAGCGATCGCTCTCCGGTTTATTTCTGTCGCGTGGATCACATGGCTTTAATGCTAAATGTTGTGTGGAGGAGGACGATTCTCCAACTGTAGAGCTAAGAGGAGTTTAGAGGTTTGGGGTTGAACTTTGGAGTCGTTTTTGGAACTGGCAGGCTCCTGCTGACAACCTGCAGCCCCCGGCGTTGCTGCTCTGCCTGGGGCTCCCCTGCACGCCCACACAGCTGCCCCGTGGGGCCCTTACACATGGGCTGTACGTGTGTAAGGTGTGCCCCACGCTGTGTCAGGACTGGATGTGGCCGGGACCTTTGCCACTGCTGGGATCGGACGGGGGCTGGTGGCACACACGGCTCGGCCGCAGGGCTCGGGGAGCTGCCCGGGCTGCCTGGTTTCCTCACCGTAAGCACGTTGGGTTTAATTTTATTGCAAGCCATTAAAAAGCTATCCACTTGCCTGTGATCTGATTTCATCTCTAGCTCTGCTACCGCTGCCAGGGTGACCGAAAGGTGGCTTTGGAGGATCAGGCGGGGGTTCTCCCTCGGTGCCTGCGCGCGTGGAGGCGCGGTGCGTGCCGGCTGGGGCCAGGGCGGCCTCGGGTGCTGCTGACCGGCCCCACTGGTGTCTGGACCCTGCACCCGAGGGTGCCACGAGAGCCTGGGCACTGCATGGCACCTGCAAGCACCCAGGGGCCAGCAAAGACATGGGTGGCTGATGTAAGCAGAGCCTGGAGTTGTGCAACCAGCTCGCTTCCGTAGCGAAGCAGCTCCCAGTTAGCGCGGTTCAGGTGCGTGGCTGGCAACTGGCGTGGACCCAAGGCTGTTCCTGGTGCTGGGCTCCAGGGGATGACGTGGGGCAGCCGCGTTGTGGCTCCAGGGGGAGGTTTGGCACTCGTGTTCATGCCCAAACCCTGCTGGCTGCCTCCATCCAAACCGAGGGTGTGGGTGGGAACAGGCTCACCGTCTGCGTGCAAGGAGCCTGCACACAGCTAACGTGAGTGGTGAGCTCTGCTCCAGGCACTGTGTCCCCCGTTACACCACGACAGGGGCACAGAGGAGGTGTGAGCCAGCTCGGGGTGAATTGGTGCCTTTTGCTCTGGCGTGGTGGCCGTGATGGAGGGGAGGGAGTGCAGGGAACGGGAAGCTCCGGTTGCGCCTCCCTGCGAGGCCAAGGCGGTGGCACGGGAGGTCTCTGGTGCCTGGGGTGTTTTGGGCTCAGTGGTTTGGACTCCGTGCCTAAAAACAGAGAGTGAGAATGTTCCTTCAGCTTCGGAGCCTCCCCAGCAGGGAGAGCTGGCTCGAGGCTGCACGTCCTCTTGGAGCTCTGCGTCTCCCCCACTTCTCACGCCCAGTTTCAGGACCCCAGATCTGGGCAGACACCACCGAGGGCTTGGTGGGTTCCCGTCCAGGCTGCTCGGGGTGGTGAAGCCCTGTAAATTGGAGAGGGTTATCAGGCATGTACTTGTCTGCAGATGCTGCTTTGAGACTCCTGTGTCCCACCACTAACATTTCCTGGGATTCTCAAAATGCTGGAGCACGATGAGCATGTTTTGATTCAGACTTCCACAGCCACGAGCTCCCTCACCAACCGACCCGGTGCGGTGTTGTGCTGCCCAGGTTTCTCCAGCAGCATCTGAGCAGCCCTGGCTCAAGCCCACTATGTTTGAACCAGGACCTGCTCACCTGCACCGACAACTTCTGCACGTGTGGCCCCTGTGAATGCTGTTCCAACCCTCTGCAACGCAGCAGGAGCCCTGCAGCCAGCCTGGCTGGGAGCGAGCTGTGCCAGCGCTTAGAAATCGACGGGGAGCAGCGTTGGATTTTCCACTCACACGCACCATATCTTCCTTATGCTTTTTTGTGGGTTTAGGACAGTTGCCTGGTAGGAGGCACGCAGCTCGGCTCCTTGGCAGGGATCGCGGTGCTGCTCTGCAGATCCATTTGCTGTCTCTTTGCTTGGCTGGCTCCGCGAAAGGAAACTTTCGTTTTTGTTTCCTGAGCTGACACCTTGGAGCTCGGGACGCGTCCCCGCAGCGGTGCTGAGCAGCGTGCGGCAGCTCGCCGGGCAGGAGCCGGGAAGGGCTGCCAGCCCTCCTTGCAGGGGAAAAGAAGTGAGATTTGCATCGAGAAAACTGGGAAATGCTTTAAAGAGTCGAGCTGCTCGTGGGGCTTGGGTGTGGGCCAGCAGGGCTGGCAGAGGCAGCGCGGTGCTCACTCCTGGCTGTTTTGGGAAGGATGCAGCGAGCAGCGTCGGCTAGGGGTGCGAGCAGCGTGCTGGGGGCCCTGGGGAGGAGAGGACAGGTCCCCAGCTGTCCTGGCAGGGCTCGGTCTGTGCCCGTGGCTCGGGTGCAAATCCTTGTGCTGAAGGGTGAGGTGGCAGCGTTGCGGAGCTGTCAGCCCCTATCTCGTTAGCACTCTCTGTTGATGCTTTTAGATGCCTCCAGTTCAGTCCATGCTGTGGTGGCATAAGGCTGCGTACGCTCCCCGAAGCACCATGGCATGACATGGAGGCTCCTAGAAACAGGATGAAGGTACAGTACCGGGTGGCCCCACCACGGAGTCGTTTCCTCTGCCTCTTGTGCTGCTTGCCGGGGGGAGAAGGGAGCGGGGCAGAGCCCCCAGGAGCGGCGGTGGAGGCGGTGCTGCTCCTGCCCCAGGTCTGTCCCGTCCCATCCCGTCCCATCCCAATGCATGGTACCAGAGCTGGCGGGCAGCAGGACAGGGTGCCAGCGCTCCCACCACAGGGACGCGTCCTTCACCAGAGGCTTTTTTATCCGTGAGAGACCGGGATGGACTCGGAGAGCAGTGAGCGCTCTGCTCGGAAAGGAGCGTGGTTCCTGGGCGCCGCGATGCTCACAGGTTGTGTTTTTTGTCTCGTTGCATCACAGAAAAGCAGGGTCCAGAGCGGAAGAGGATTAAAAAGGAGCCCGCCACGAGAAAGCCTGGCTTGCTGTTTGGAATGGGCCTTTCAGGAATCCGGGCAGGCTACCCGCTCTCCGAGCGCCAGCAAGTCGCTCTGCTCATGCAGATGACAGCCGAGGAGTCTGCAAACAGCCCAGGTGAGCGTGGGGCCAGCCCCGTGCTGCTGCCTCGGGGAGATGCTGCTCGGGGCGAGCTCTCTCCTGTTTCTGCCCCCTGTGCAAGCCCTGGTGGACATCTCCTGCTCCAAAGCAGCGAGCAGCGTGGCACAGCTGGGTGCAGGAGGGCGGCTGCGCTGCTGCCAGGGTCTGCCAGGCTCCGGGGTGCTGGGTGTGGGAGGGAGCGGTGTGAACCGAGGCAAAACAGCAGCCTCTGGTCTTTTCGTGCTCCTTCTGGGGAGAAGGATAAGGCTGATGATAGCCAGCGCGCACTGTAACGTGAGATGCAGAGCAGCTGGAATGTGTTTACCATGGATTTGGGATTTGGGTAATTTTTATCTGTTGCGTGACCCCCCCTCTGGGGTTTTGAGAGGCGCAGCGTGCTGTCCGTGTGTGTACATCTGCGTCCTACACACACACGCTGCAGCTTTTAGCTGCCTGGTTTGTTGCTCTTAACGCAAATCTCGCTGCTTATGTTGCTGTTACTTGAAAACCAGCAAAAAGCTGTGTAGTCTGCAGAGCATTCAGCTGTTCCCAGAAAATGTGCTCCCCTCCCAAGGCTGTCAGACCTCACATGTGCTTGGTAAAAGGCCACTTCCCTTAGGAAATGAGGTTTTAGGGTAAGGAGCTGCATTGTCTACTCCTAAATCATGGGATTGCCTACAGTCTTTGCAAGGACTGCAGTTCTCTCCAGCGGGCTTTGGCAGCCTGCAATTAATATCTGTATTACACACACACAGGCTTTCCTCTGTCTTCACATCAACTTCAGAGGCTGTTAACTCTCGGTGCCTTCTGGGGAGCGTTTTGGTGGAGAGGCGAGATGAAACGCGTTGCAACAGCTCCCTCTAAGGGTTTGCGTCTTGCTCTGAGCTGCGCTTCCTGACTCTGTTCTCTCCTCCTCGCAGTTGACACAACACCAAAGCATCCCTCTCAGTCCACAGTTTGTCAGAAGGGAACTCCTAACTCTGCCTCCAAAACCAAAGATAAAGTAAATAAGAGAAACGAGCGAGGAGAGACTCGGCTGCATCGAGCTGCCATCCGAGGAGATGCCCGGCGCATCAAGGAGCTCATCATCGAGGGTGCGGATGTCAATGTGAAAGACTTTGCAGGTAAGCACCAGGAGCTCTGCGCTTCGCCCTCGGGTTGGATGTGCCACCCACAGAGTGGCTCCTGCCAGGGGAATTTGTTTCCTTACCACCCAGGTTGCTACTTGGAAAGGAGAGATTATCCAAAACCAATGAATTGCCTTTAGGGGAGGAAAACATCTTGCTGTCCTTTAAAAAAAAGAAAATACAGATTTCTAAGAGTTAAAAACTTTGGAAAACATCCGCTCCTGTGTTGGAGCTCAGCAGCTGAAGTCTCAGGGCTGTCCTGGCTGCACCCACCCTGCTCCTGCGGGCTGGGGGTGCGGATCCCTGCTCCCCCCGGGGCTCTGTGGCTCCGTGCTCTGCAGTGGGACCGGGACCCTCTGGGCATTTCTTGTTCCACACACGTGATGCCTGAGAAGTCTGGAGGAGGATTTGCAAAGGCTGTTTTAGCTCTTTTTTTTTTTTTTTACTTAAAACGTAACAAACGTGCGTAAAGATATGAAAACACTGGGTTTGTGGAGTCGGTGATCCGGAATCAAATGGTGATGCTGGCAGCTGCCTGGGGTTTAAGTACTGAATGTGGGGTGCTGCTGAGAGGAACCACACCGCTGCTGCACTAACGAGGGGGCTAAATTAGCACGAGGCAGCCTCTCTTCCGGCACGTCCGAGAGCTCGACTTTGCTCTTTGCTGTTCCCTTTGCACGATTTTTTGGCTATAAATAGCTGCGTGTTCCTCTGCCTGGGTGATTAATGCCAGCGCTAGACGGAGGTATCAGCTGTGATTAATTCCGGGCACAGGTGCCCCCTGCTCGTGCTCCCGGTGAAGGTAACGGGCGCGCTCCCACGGCGCTATCAGCAAAACACCCAAGGAGCCGCGCGCCTTTTGCTGGGAAACTTCAAAACAGCTCCTGCTTAAAAATAGCCTGTTTGAACATGATAAAATACTTCATCCCGTGGTCTTCAGAGGTTTGTTTGAGAACGAGAGCCGCTGTTACTGTGGAGATGGGCTGTTTGGTTCCTCTCCGAGATCAGGGCCTGTTTTTTGGTGGCATTGCTTGCTTTGGAAAGCACGCAGAAAATATTTGTTAGGTCTGCGTGGGGGATGCTTCGGGGCAGTGTCTGTAGCTCGGAACTCAGCCCTGCTGTAGGAGGCCGTGTTTCTCTTTTCAGACAAGGGAAGGGATTTGAGACCTGGCTCCCACATGGCATCAGCAAGCCTCCCAATTTCCTAGCCAGAACTTTGCCCTCGGGTTTGCCAGGGCTGTGCCATTTCTAGCAGGCGGTCTGACTGCCCGTGGTGCACCCCGAGGGGAAGGTGGGGCTGGTCCTGCAGAGCTCCCCGAGCTGCAGGGCCGGGCTGCAGGCTCCTGGCGCAGGCAGCCGTGGTGGATGGAAGTTGCTTTTCTCTGTCTCTGACCCTCTCCATGAAGGTGATGCCCACCTCTCGGTGTCTGTTTGCTTGCAGGCTGGACGGCGTTGCACGAGGCATGCAACCGGGGATACTACGACGTGGCAAAGCAGTTGCTGGCTGCAGGCGCAGAAGTCAACACCAAGGGGTTGGACGATGACACCCCGCTGCACGACGCAGCCAACAACGGGCACTTCAAGGTTGGTTGTGGCTGGATTCCACGGCTCTCTTTCAATGACCTTTTTCTTCTCGTGTGCCAAGCAGCCACCTGTGAAAATGCAGAGATTCTGGTTATTTTGTTATGGTTTGCTGCTGATAGCCCTGTAGCGGTGAGAACCTCCTGCCCCCGTACTGCTCAGCATTGTACTTGCAGAGGAGAAGAGTTTTCTGGAGCACAGGGAGAGTGCATGGCTTTGCAGCTGGTTTTTCTCCATGTTTTCCTGCCCAAATTGATTCATGTTGCTGGCCTTTGTCTTCTTATCGATGTCTGTTAGTGCCACAGGGCTTGTCCTGTGGCTGACAGCAGGCTGCTCTCCAGCTTGAGCATGTCCCCTTTTTGTTACATAAGAAAGAAAAAAGAAAAACCAAAAACACCCCAACAGATTCAGAACATCTTTACAAACACCTAAAGTCTCTATTTCCATTTCCAGGTGGTGAAATTGTTGTTGCATTATGGAGGGAATCCTCATCAAAGCAACAGGAAGGGGGAGACACCTCTAAAAGTAGCCAATTCTCCCACCATGGTGAATCTGCTCCTGGGGAAGACGTACCCCTCCAGCGAAGAGAGCTCAACAGGTGAGGCTGACCTTTTTGTGCACGTAGGAGCGATGTCTGTGGCCTGCAGCAGTCTGTTAGTACAGAGACGTTAGGAGGACGGTGAAATTAGGCTGTTCTCAGAGTATCTGCACGCTGCTGTCACAGCCAGGAGCCCAGCTGTAGCTGCACTGCAGGCGCCTGCCCCGCTGGTGCCGCCTGTTGTGCTTGAGCCAGGTGGGAAACATCACAGGCTTCATTAGTGCTAATTGGAGGAAACGTTCCTGTCTTATGGGGAGTCTTGGCCTTACCCTATTTGCAGTCATAATCCTGTTAGAAAGTTTTTCCCTTGCTGCATGCTGGATGTTCTCAGGAGCACGCCTCGCGGGGCTGAGAGGGGCTGACTGTTCCCTAAGAGATCTTCCAGCTCGGCGTTTCGGGGTGGCAGCTGCAAGCTGAGCAAAAGCTGGGGGAGGAAAGGGGTGGCAGGGCTCCTTGCAGGCCTTAACGCGTTGTTTATCTCCCTCTGCAGAGACGTCAGAAGAGGAGGATGCCCCGTCCTTCGCTCCCTCCAGCTCTGTTGATGGCAATAACACAGACTCAGAGTTCGAGAAGGGTTTGAAGCACAAGCCCAAGGCCCAGGAGCCCCCCAAAACCATCACCCCGGTGAAGGATGAGTATGAATTTGATGAGGACGATGAACAGGACCGGGTCCCGCCAGTCGATGACAAACATTTGCTGAAAAAGGATTACAGAAAAGAGACTAAAGCAAACAGTTTCATTTCCATACCCAAAATGGAAGTGAAAACTTATACTAAAAATAACACAATTACACCAAAGAAAGCTGCCCACCGCATCCTGTCGGACAGCTCGGACGAGGAGGAGACCAGCGTTGCTGTGGGGACGGGGGAGAAGCTGCGACTTACGACCCACTCGATATTGCCCAGCAGCAAGATTCGGGAGCCTGCCAGCACAAAGCCGCAGAAGGAGAAAAGCAAAGTAAAAAAGAAGCGGAAGAAGGAGACGAAAAGCAAAGAGGTTCGATTTGGCAAAAAAAATGACAAATTTTGTTCCTCTGAATCAGAGAGTGAAAACGTGGAGAGTGAGGAGGATGACAGAGACTCTCTTCAGAGCTCTAGCTGTGTAAAGGACTCCAGGCTAGTGCTAAAAGAATCCTCCTTGTTTAACTCTCTGTCTGCCTCATCGACCTCTTCTCATGGGAGTTTAGGCTCCCAGAAACATAATCCTAATCTTACAGAACAGCACTCCAAGCACTGGAGGACGGACAATTGGAAAACCATATCTTCTCCAGCTTGGTCAGACGTCAGTTCCTTATCGGACTCCACAAGGACGAGGCTGACGAGCGAGTCAGACTACTCGTCCGAGGATTCGAGCTTAGAGTCGCTAAAGCCGGTCAGAAGAAACCAGAGCACAAAAAGAAAAACAACCCACACAACACTGTTTCTGAGAAAAGAATTCATTCCATAGCAATGTGGATGGAGCAATTCCAAAGCTGGACAAGGAGGGGAAGGTTGTTAAAAAACATAAAACAAAACATAAACATAAAAACAAGGAGAAGGGACAGTGTCCCATCAGCCAAGACATTAAAATAATCAAGACTTTTTCTTTTGAGTTTGAGGACTCTAAACAAAAGCCTGAGAAAGGCTTGATAGTAGAGACAGAAAATCCAGTCGAAAACAAATTGAAAGTGTTAAAGCATGAGCGAGAACACTGTAAGAAGGAAGAAAAACTCCCCAAAGGTAAAGGGAGGAGAAAGAGTGGTTGTTTAAAGATGAGACTGGAAAATCCTCTAAAGAGGAGAAATCATTAAGGAAAGTCAAAGAGGGTAGTAAAGACATGAGCAAATCCTTCAGAGAAGGATTGAGTAAATCAGAAAAAGAGAAACCTGTAAAGGAGAAGTCTCCCAAGGAGGAGAAGCCAAGAATACACAAGGAAGAGAAAGAAGAAGTCAAAGGACAAGCAGTCAAAATCTGAAAAGAAGAATGAGCTGAAAGAGGAAAGGTTGCTAAACTAGAGAAAGAAAAATCCTTCAAGGAAGAGAAGGAAAAATGCAAAAAAGAAAAAATGTACAGGGATGAGTCTGGCTTTGATGAGTTTAATAACAAAAACCAATTTCCCGAAAGCGAGGACACAAAGTTCAGCCTCTCGGATGATCAGCAAGAGAGGTGGTTTTCAGACTTGTCTTCTGATTCCTCCTTCGATTTCAAAGGCGAGGATAGCTGGGATTCTCCGGTCACAGATTTCAGGGAGATTAAAAATGACACCGTGGCAAAACTAATCATAGAGCCAGTGAAAGAGGAAATTAAAGACAAGAAAAAGGAAAACAAAACGAAGCTCACTGCTCCCCCGCCGCCTGCGTCGCTTCCCGCGCCTTCGTGCGCGCTCGCGGTGGCTTTGTGCTCGAGGTAGCTTTTCCTCTTAAAATCCCAGTAGGAAGAAGCTTAGAATTAAGCAGCTAAATCCTTCAACCTGTGCTGCCCTCCCTTCAGAAGCGGGTTTTCCTGCAGCGTTTGCAGCAATCCTTTCACCATGGCACAGCTGACACGTGCCTGGTGTGCGCCCTGGAGCGCTGGCCTGTTGGGTGCATGGGGCTGCGGGGTGGCCCTATAACAGGAACGTTGGTGGGCCTGCTGGCTGCCCAAATATCCTCCAGAATAACCCCAAATCACGTAAGCTCAAATAGCAATGCCATATTCTTGCTCTAGAAACATTGCAGCTCCCGACCTGTGGCTCCCTGGTGCCGGGGCCGTTTGGTTCACGCAGCCCCCGGGCCCCCAGCCCCAGCCCGGCCACGAGGCCTCGGTCTCCGTGCCGTCGCTGAGGGTTTTGTGCCGTGCAGCAGCCTGGGGGCTGGCCGTGCTCTTCTGCATCGGGGCACCAGGGTTTTAGCTGTGTGAAATGAGCTGGCCTCTGGCAAACCGAGCAAACACTCGCTGCTGCGGCCCTCCCTGAGCGTGCGGGGACCTGCTGGGGGGCTCCGAGCGGTGCCTCAGCCACCACAAACCATTCTTTGGGCTCGATGAGTGGGTAGAGGATGGGGCTGGCAGTGCTGGCTGCTGTGCCAGCCCTCGAGCCCCTTCCTCCCTCTCCCTTCCAGAGGACAAAAGCCATTTCTTTCCCCTGTGGCTGCAGGGGGGCTCGTTTCTGCTGCATGCACACACCCAGCCCTGCGGGAAGGGGAGGAAAAGCGTGTCAGGAGGTTGGGGTGGCAGTCGGCCCCTCCACGGTCCGGGGAAGGTGCTCGCTAACGCTGCTAACCTGCTGTCTGCTTTCTCTTCCCAGGATAAAGATAAAGTTTCTCTAACCAAGACTCCCAAGTTGGACCGGAGCGATGGCGGCAAAGAGGTGAAAGAGAGGGCCACGAAGCGCAAGTTGCCTTTCACTGTCGGAACAAATGGAGATCAAAAGGACTCAGATACAGGTACAGGAAGCGCAAACCCCGCCGTGGAGACGGGAGCAGTGGGGCTGGTGGGATGCACGTGGCACCCGACGTTCACCTGTCCGTGCTGGAGCGCTGCTCCACACCTCCTGTGGTTCTGTAACCAGAGGAAAAGGCTCTGAGCAAGAGGAGAGCTCCTGAGACGTTGGGAGCTGAGCGGATCTGGGCCCTCGTGTTCTCAGTAACACACCTAATGGCACCAGGGATGGCTCTGGGGGGGGGAGAAACCCCATCCTGGGCTGGTGGTCAGCTCTCTGCTGGTTCTCCCTAACCCAGCTGAGCTGCGGCTCCGGCTGGCCGAGGAGCAGCACTGAGCCTTGCAGTGCGAGCTTGGAAATCAGGGAGCAAAGCCGAGCTCTCTCTAAAAGCAAAAAAAAAACCAGTTTCCTCCGGTTTGGAAGCTGGGAGGGCAATTTGGGAAGGTCCCGAGCGCTGTCGTGGCCGCGCAGCTCCCGCGCTGGGCAGCGAGGACACGCGGTGCTGGCGGTGCGTCCTCGGGGCTGCCCGAGTGGTAATACTCCTGTCAGCTGCTGAACTCCGTGTCCTGAGAGAAAGCTTCAAAACCTGAATTTGTGGAGCTGAATGCCAGCTGAATGGCATTTGTCCTTGTGGAGCATCACGTCGGGGTTCTTGGTGTGTGGATGGGCGAGAGCATCACGGGGTGAATACAACGTGTGGATGGGTGCCGGGGCACGGCAGCGCTGATGAGCAACAGCCGTGGCTGCTGCTGCTTCCTGGCGAGGGCGTTTCTGAGCCACGTGCAGCACTCGGTGGGGTTTAAACCCAAACTCACTTCATGAAGGGCTGCCTGGCCCTTGTGGTCACCGGGATGTCACGGCTGGGCTCTGCCAGCCCGCTTCCTGGGGGACCAGCAGCAGGTGTCTGCTGTGCAGAGGGCTCGGGGCTCCTTCTGGCTGTGGAAATGTTAGAAATGGTGCTGCCGGAGGCATCAAGAAGGAAAAAATTGAGAAGGAGCAGGGGGCAGGGACAGCCCGGTGCTGCTACCAGGAGAGGGTCGTGTCAGATGCATCTTCCCCGTCCCCTCTGGGGCTCGGCCGAGCCGTGGGCAGGGGAGCTGGGCTCGAAGGCACGTGAAAGACAAACGGGGGCTCGACAGAGGCTGGCAGGGTGTGGGCGAGTCAGCAGCAGCCGATTTGGTCGAGACCAGAGAGAGGAAGTGACTCAGCCCCTGGCGAGGAGATAGCGGCGGGGAGCTGCAGATGCACGGCACGCAGAGCCAGGCCGATGCTGAGCGGGAGCTGGTTGCTCTGCTCCGAGGTCTTTTCCTCCAGGATCCCGATGCCTGAGGTGGGAGAGGCTCCGCGGCACCGTGCTCCCCTCTGGCACCACCGTGGGGTCCTTCTCCTCCTCGGATGGGCTCGAGGAGGGCTTTCCCTCAGGGGAGAGGCCTGTTTGTGGCTGCACAAGGGTTGCCCACCTCACACGGGGCTGGAGAGGTGCCCCCGAGCCTGTGTAGGGTCAATCAGTGTCCCACAGCACCCAGCAGCCACGTCCTGCTGGCACGCAGCTGGAGGACGAAGGACAAAGCTTTGGTCTCGAGCAAGGGGCTGCAGGAGGGGGGCTGCGCCCCGCTGCCCCGAGCTTTTTCTCTTCCCTTCCTAAACTTCGATTTCAGCCGGTGTGAGAAGTGGGATTGCAACATCAGCGCTGGCCGTGCCCGTTTTGGGGCTGACCGTGGAGGATTTGTGCAATGCAGCCGCGCTTCCTGGGCCTCCGCACGCGGGCTTTCGTGTTTGCCTGAGGACGCTTTCGCTGGGCTGCTCCACAGCCACGAAATTCAGCTGTAAGGATGTGGGAACCGGGAGAGGGCTCTTTTGCCTACAGTAGGATTTTTTTTTCCCCCTCTTTAAATGTTTAAGCACTACCGTGAAGCCTTGCCCGGGTTTCCTGCAGCGGCTCGACTGCCCTAGCACTGTGCAGCCGCTGTCCTGGCGAGGGATAAAAAATGTACACGAAGCTGTGAGCCTCCAGAACGCATGTTTCAGATCCAGCTCTGTGGGAGCAGCATCTCCTGCCTTCCTCCTCTCCCCTCGTGCAGCATCTCCCCGCATCCAGACAGCGCCGAGAGCCTACGTGCTGCCTGGCAGCAGCCAGCCGAGTGCAGCCAGCTTCTCCCCAGCACTTCCAGCAGCCTGGGAGGCTTCGTGCAGCTCCTCGTTTCTGCGCTGTGCTGAAAGGAGGTTAGACATTAAAATAAACACGCACCAAAAAAAAAACCCACAACTGTGCAATGCTCAGAGTGCCAGAGTCCGTAGTAAGGTGCTGGTTGGACCCGGTGATGGTGAAGGTCTCCTCCAGCCTTAGTGATTCTGTGATTCGGTGTCAGCCGTAGTGGGGACGGCCTCTTTAGCTTGATTTCGGGCTGTCGCTCGAGTCCCTTGGCTTCCTGTAGGGTGGAGCTGTGGTCTCCGGGCTTTTAGTCATCATGGGGGAGAGGCAGGGCTTCAGAAAAACCTCCAGGGCGCTTTGAGTTAATTTGGGCTTCCACGAGCTGTCCAGGGAGCTGGAAAGACCTGGGTGAGGTTGGGTGTGCGGGGCTGTGCTGCTCCCCCTGCGTGCAGAGGCCTCCCGTGGTGACCCCCGGGGAGGGGAGGCAGGCGCTGGGCCTTAGGGTGCCCCTTAGGGTGCTGCTGGTTCCTGGTGCCTCCAGCCCCGCTGCCCCCACGCTGCCCCTTGAGCCAGGGTGACACCTCTGGGGCAGGTTTCGCACATTTGCTGGCAGACTCGGAGCACGTAAGAAGCTTGGGTTCGCCCAGATCATGTCCAAACCCCACTGTTGCTAAATAACACCCAGATTTGTATTCACCTACTCCAAAATCACAGGCGGAGGAGCCGTCCTGTGCCTGTGCTCACTGCTGTAGCCGTGCACTGAGTGCAACGTGTGCTGCTCCGTGTGGGAGCGCATCACGGCTGAGCTGCGCAGCCCTGGCCTCAGCGGCGTTACTGCAGAAACAAATGCCTGACTTTTAAAGTTCCCTGAACACAGAGAAATTCTAATTTTGAACCGTTTGGTCACGCAGACTTCGGTTTCTCTGGCAGCTCTCGTGCTGGAGCCGAGGGCTTTGCACAACTGAGCTCTCCTCAACACCTCCTGCAGGGAGAACAAGGGCAGCTAGTGGTGGAGGGGGGACAGGAGGGGCTTGGGGAGGCAGAAGGGGTTTGAGGGGGCAAGAGGGGACTTGGGGAAGCAGGAGAGGAGGGTGCAGGGGCTGGAGGGGTGCCGGGGCAGGAGGGATTTTGCATTCCTCATTGCTGCCTCCAGCGCAGCTCCCGCTGCTTCCAGCTCCTGGCCAGGCCGGGAGGGGTGGACGCCGTGTGGTTTGGTAGCGCTGTGGCTTTGGGTCGTGGGATTTCTCAGCACCGCTTGGTGTTGGTGTTGGTGTTACTGGGGTGTGAGCTGAAGCAAGTGGCACCGCAGGCAGTGTGGTGGGGGGGACAGGGATGGCACGGCGCGGTCGGGTGGTCCAGTGTGGTGCCGGGCACGGAGCAGGAGGTGGCTCCTGCCCTAGCAGGTTGGGTTCCCTCCCATGCTATCGGGGTTAAAATCAGTGCCATCTGCCTCGGCTGTGGTCTGGTGGCATTTGGTGTCTCAGCTTTGTGGGATGGGGGAGCACGGGCAGAGGGCGGGTGCGGAGAGTGTGGGTTCAGAGGCCCCGGAGCAAACAGCCCCTTCAGCTGCGTCCGTCCCCTTCAAAAATGAAACATGAAAGCAGCATCGTGCTTCCGAGGTCCTGAAGAATGAGGTAGGATCCTCCTGCTGGGAGGCAGCGGGGAGAGGCAGAGCCCCACCAGCACCATCCCACCGTGGAGGGTGGCCGTGGGTCGTGGTAGCGGCGAGCATGAGCGCAGGATCTGGCCTCGGAGCCTCCTTGGT